TAAACTGTTTGTGCCATAATAATCTCTTTAACACTGTGTGCTATTCACTCTTTGTGACGGCTTTGGTAAATAAAAGTAATCAGCTTTATGAACTTGTGCGTTTTGTTGTAGTTTTCTGAGGTTGTGTCATGCATTTACAGGTTACTCTTTACTTTTAGAGTAACACTTTATATGAAACTCCCCAAACCCATCTAAAACAGCCTGTTCAACCAGCTAAACCCAAACAGCGCGTTTAGGCTCATTTAAGCAGTATTCTCAGAAGAAATAGACGTAAAAGCAGCAGTTTTTTTTATTTTTAGCTTAGTCTCTCGTATTTCAGCCAGAGTGCGCATTTGCTTAACACTGGGCCATGGAGTATCGGAATGTTTTTATACTAATACTGTGTTCTACATGTTTAAAATATTAAATCTGCAGATCGTTGGTCTAATAAAAGATCAATATAAACACCGCAAATTGCTAATCCGTTAATCGCAAATGACTCTGATTGGACCAGTTTGACGAGCGTTGAGAAGTGTAACGCATGACACGTGACAATATCTTCTATATCTTGAATTGTTTAAATGATATATATAATAAAATAATCATTTTATAATAATCTTAGCCACGTTTAAATGTGTCTAATTTATTTCTTTCATTCCGTATACACAAACAGGTTACGTATATATTATCAATAAGTTGTTAAAAGAAATATTAACGGCAGTAATTTAAGTGTATTATTTAATAAACTATCACCTTTCCTATCGTAAACTATAGTTGCTGTCAACATAAACTCCTAAATCCTTTCAAAACAATATTGTGCGGTCTCGTTGTTTTGATTGAACGCTTTAATCTTCTGCGTCATCACCGCGCGCCCGGTCCAACATGGCGGACTTTGTTTAGATGTTATTGATCTCCGGTGTCCAGTATATCCAGAATCCCTGAATTCGACGTTTATTTTTTGAGCTCGTCCATCATGAGCGACGAGGAGAAATCAGAGACTCGTAACTTCTTCATGGGCTACGATGATCTGAGCGACAGCAGCAGTGACTCGGAGAGCCGCAGTGGGCCTGAAGCCACGGCCTCGTCTGCCCCAGCCGAGCCGCAGCAGAGCCGCAAACGCGCCGCGGAGCCGCTACCGAGACCTGACGAGCTGTTCCGCTCCGTCAGCAAACCCGCATTTCTCTACAACCCGCTCAATAAAGCCATCGACTGGGACAGCAGAGCCGTCAGAGCGCCGGAGGAGGTCAGTTTATATCACCAGCATTCACTGTTTCATCATCACATCACATAACGGGCTAAAATACTGCCAGTACACTCTTGACAGACACCTACATTTACTGAAGACAACTTGGATGACTGAAGAAAACGTAAGAGGGGTTTGCCGTGGCAGTTGCTAGGGTGTACTGAGTGGTTACTAATGTGTTCCGGGAGGTTGCTAAAGAGTTGCTTGGGTGTTGGTTGCTAAGTCGTTGTTTGCCCGTTGCTAGGGTGTCCTGAGTGGTTGCTAGGCAACTATCAGGCTGTTCTAAATGGTTGCTAAGGTGTTCCTTAAATTCTATTCCTCAGAGCTTTAGTCATAGTGGACAGCATTACAGCGCGTTCTATTTCCATAAATGCGTGACGTCAGGGGAACACTTTTAATTGTCTATTTTAGTGGAGTGAATGACCCTGAAATACTTTATTTCTGGCTTTGTTTCAGCCTCCTAAAGAGTTTAAGGTGTGGAAGAGCAGTGCGGTTCCCCCGCCGCAGTCCTACGTGACGGAGGAGAACAAGAAGAAAGCTCCTGCTGGAATGGACATGGCCATCAAATGGTCCAATGTGTACGAGGACAACGGAGATGACGCCCCTCAAGCCCACCGAGGCCCCGCCCACTTTCTGCCAGAGGAGGAAGAGGAGGAGCAACAGCCAGACTCTGGTAAAACATGTTCATTTATTCTGGTAGCAGTTGGGACTGGGCGATACGACAACAATTTCATACCACGATGTCTACTTGACGATAGATATCATCACCATATAGTAACGTTTCTTTAACGGGCCGCACAATACATCACTTCAGCATCGATATCGCATTAGTTGTCGAAAACTACAGTTACTGTAACTGTTGTGTTACCATAGCAACTATACAATTACCATAACTGATTAATTACTATTGTTGTTCTGTTACCATAGCAACTATACAATTACACCTATAGATCTATTACTACGATTCTTATTACTATAGCAACTGTAGAATTACCACAGTAGATCTATTACTACAGTTGATGTTACTATAGCAACAATAGATCTATTACCTTAATTGTTGTTACCCTAGCAACTATAGAATTACCACAATAGGTTTATAACTACAGTTGTGTTACTATAGCAACAATAGAATTACCACAATAGATCTATTACTTCAATCGTTGTTACTATAGCAACAATAGATTTACCACAATAGATCTATTACTTCAATCGTTGTTACTATAGCAACAATAGAATTACCACAATAGGTTTATTACTACAGTTGCGTTACAATTGCAACAATAGAATTACTACAATAAATCTATTACTTCAATCGTTGTTACTATAGCAACAATAGAATTCCCACAATAGACCTATTAATACGCTTGCATTACTATAGCAACTAAAGAATTACCGCTATAGATCTACTACAGTTGTGTTACTATAGCAACTATAGAATTACTGCTATATATATATTACTACAGTTGTGTTACTATAGCAACTGTAGAATTACCGCTGTAGATCTATTACTACAGTTGTGTTACTATAGCAACTGTAGAATTACCGCTATAGATCTATTACTACAGTTGTGTTACTATAGCAACTATAGAATTACCGCTATAGATCTATTACTACAGTTGTGTTACTATAGCAACTGTAGAATTACCGCTATAGATCTATTACTAGAGTTCTCGTATTACCATAGCAACTATAGAACTACAGCAACACATCAACTCCTATAGTTGATGCGATACCATGGCAACTACATAATCTCCACAACAGATAGTTATTTCTTCGTTAGTTAATTCCCTGAGTATTTTGCTGTAAAGTACATAAACACTAAATAATTTACTATAAATGACTGTAGTTTTGGTGACACGTGGCTCAGGGGCTAGCACTGTGGCCTCACAGCAAGAAGGTCTCTGGTTTGAGTCTCAGCTGGGTCAGTTGGTGTTTCTGTGTGGAGTTTGCATGTTCTCCCCGTGTTGGTGTGGGTTTCCTCCGGGTTCTCCGGTTTCCCCCACAGTCCAAACACATGCGCTATATGCGCTGTGTGTGTGTGTGTGAATGAGTGTGTATGGGTGTTTCCCAGTAATGGGTTGCAGCTGAAAGGTGGTTCATTGCGTTGTGGCGTTTCCTAATGCATAAGGGAACTCAGCTGAATGATTTGCTATAGTTCAGCCACAGCATTTTAACTATATATATATTCTCGCACACTCCTGCATAACAGTTATAATAATCACTATTGTAAGCAGAGTAAATCATTGAAGCGGATGAATGATCTCGTGTGTGCTGCGTCCCTCAGATGACGACTCCTCATCGAAGCTCAGTAAATCTGCTAAGAAGCGGCGTGTGGAGACGTTCCAGCAGAAGGAGAAGCGCAAGAGGGACATCGGCCAGGCCACGTCTGATAAGAACTTTGTGGAGGAGGAGAAGCGCATCCTCCGCCAGTGTCTGGACTGAACAGAGAGAGTGTGTGTGGGTGTCTGAGTGCGTGTGTGTGTGCGCGAGCAAGAGAGTGTATGTGTGTGTACTGGTTTTGGTGGTTTACAAGAACACAAACATGTATAATGTCATGGGTATGACCCAGTCTCACTCTATTAATTCGGTTAATGTGGACTTTTCTTGTGTCCTCATAATTCAGAATGCTGTAGAGTCCTGCATAAGGGGGTTTTCCACTTTCAGTATTGTCCACAGGTGTGTGTGAGGGCTGGTTTAGGAGTAGGGCTTATCAGAAGCGATTTACTATAAAAAATGCATAAGCCTGTGGAGAGTCCTCATAAACCACCAATACCACTGTGTGTGTGTGTGTGTGTGTGTGTGTGTGTGTGTGTGTGTGTGTGTGTGTGTGTGTGTGTGTGTGTGTGTGTGTGTGTGTGTGTGTGTGTGTGTGTGTGTGTGTGTGTGTGTGTGCATATGTATGAATGTAGGTGTGTGTGTGTTTGTGCATGCATATGTGTGTGTGCGTGGTGATGTTCACCCTTCAACTGATTTTAATGTGTAGATCTTCATCTTCAGGAGGATGAGGAGGAGTATAGCAGCACTATGAGTCTCGGACACTTTAAATATAATATCTCGGTATCACACACACACACATGTGTAAGGAGTGTGTGTTGAGGACGGTTCCCGCAGGCTGCTGTAATGATGTGTGTGTGTGTGTGTGTGTTGAACATCACTGTAAGTATGATTGCTGATGTAGACTGTAGATGTACAGCAGTTTCTCCTCTGTTGATCATATCTGATGTTCTCTGTGTGTGTTTGATGATTTGTAGATCCTCATCTGGATAAAGAGCTTCTCTCCCAGTCTCTCTCTCCGTCTGTCTGTGTGTGTGTGTGTGTGTGTGTGTGTGCTGGTGGTGAGCGGTCACCAGGGGGCGACACTGACTGACATTTAATCTCTGCACTCACAGCAAACCTGTAGACACTA